AACAACAAAAAAGTGCATCTTATAGTCTGAAAAATACGGTGAATGAAGCACAGACAAATCGGCATTAAGACAAACATCAAACACCCAATAGTTGCATTAGCCTTAATATCTCACTCCATTATCTTGACCAGGTAGACATAAAATACGGACACATGGAAGGAGACAGAAAATAATGCTGTGATCACATGCATTAAGAGTTGTATAGACTGTGTGTACAATGCAGAGGGAACATAAAAAGGGGTGAGGCAGCGAGAAAATCTGACACATTAAGCAAGGGAGTAAAATGTAGTATATAGGTGTGGGCTCTGGACTTGGATACCTGGGTCCATGTAAGCCCGGAGAGGAATTGGAACTTGAGAGTATGTATCTAGCTCACAGAAAAACTTAAATCTAAATCTCTTGAATTTTAGTTATGATCTGTTTTTTTTTAACAGAAATAAATATTTCAGGCATAAAACAAAGTATAGAGAATAACACAATGGAACACCTATAAACTCATCACCGAGTTTAAGAGGCTAAATGTGGTGTTTATCATTTCCATGCTGTTTTTGTACTCTTACTTCACATGACTGTTTCCATAAACACTGATGACCAGTTGTTTGCATGTATTTAAAAATCTCTATAATAGCCCTGGCTAGTGTGGCTCAGTGGGTTGAGCACTGGCCTGCCAACCAAAGGGTCACTGGTTTGATTCTGAGTCAGGGCACATGTCTGGGTTGTGGGCCAGGTCCCCAGTAGGGGGCACGAGAGGCAACCACACATTGATGTTTCTCTCCCTCTCTTTCTCCCTCCCTTCCCCTCTAGTAATAAATAAATAAAATCTTTTAAAAAATCTCTGTAATAGGTCATATGTTACCTATATCTTTCTGCAATCTGTCTTTCCTCTCAACATTATATTGTTCAGATTTACCCATCTCAAAAATACTTCTGGTTTTGGTGCTTTCATTTGTATCACTGTATGGTCTTATTCATCTGTTGTCTTATTGGTTCATATTTGATTATGTCTAATTTGTTGTTATTATACATACAATACCAAGTATATTCCAGTGTGATTTCTACAATGTCTATGTAAGTGGTCCTGACCTCTTTACATTACACCACATATTCTCAAGTAAGTGAGGCAGAGAGTAGAGCTTTATTCTCTCACCTCTCAGGCTCTCCCTTCTCTGGGTTGGAAAGCACAGAGGGTGACTATAATTGGTTGAAAGGGGGTGGGAATTAGTCCCATTACTTTAATTTGACTTTTGATTAAGATAGTTACTTTATTTTCAATTTTATATGCCATTAAAAGAGGGTATGTGATTTTTCTGTTTATAAGGAGCTGCATTGGTTAAAAATAGTTCTTATATCCATTAATCCAAAGAAGTCACTCTAAAATAGTGCAATATTCAGACCGTGTGGCAGGCTACAGGGTAAAACATTTAGGGTGGCAGCAAGCCTTTGAGCATTTCTCAATTCCCCAAATAGATGCTCTGCCTCTATTGCTCAAATCATAAGCTCGTTCCTGAATATTTTCTCTCTGGGAGAGAGATTGCAAACTAGCCATTGACAGATTCAGTTAGCCCACAGGCATATTTTATTCGGTTTGTTTGGTATTTGAAACACTTTCAGCGAGCATTTAATAACTAGGACACTTTATGTAAAAGTCTGAGTTTTTATCTTCTCTGGCAATGTTAGGCTAGTGAAAAATTGACAAGGAATAGTCTCTCCAATTTGTTGCTGTCCTCGCTACTCCCTATTTGATTACACTAGTCCTTTTGTACTCATTTCATCACCTGCCTGGCCCTGGTGGGCATCTGAGTTCACCACCTCTCCTCTCAGGCCTTTCGCTATTTCTTCCTTATGCTGAACAGCTGAAGGAGTCACTTATACAAAGACTTCAAGCTAATGAAACTCAGACAAATACTGGGGTCTCTCCAATAGAAACTGAACTGTAGGCCAAGTAGATCAATTTACAGGAATGAAGGATTTTTTTTGTTTGCTGGGAAATGGATGTTTCAGTCAGGACTGCCAGTGCTGAAATTTCTCTGAGCCAAGAAAATTTTACTGCTGATTCAGAGAAGTTCAGTGTAACTGGACCTCAATCCAGGGCCTGTGCTTCATTTGTTTCCTTCTTTCAGTGCACAGGGATGAGTAACAGGGACAATAGGTATTTTCACATATGGCTTTCAGGGAAGTGGTAAGGGATAGGGAGTGTATAGGAGACAATTTCACTCCTTTGAGTCTCATTTGTGCCTATGACATGACATATCTTATGTTTAAGCCAGATACAGACCCTGTTATTTGAAGATATTCTAGGGTTGTTTTCATAATTGGTGCCCCTGGAATTTGTGGGATATATTCAGCAAAATTCTAAAATGAGTAACTCTGAATATTCTGAGTAGCTGATACAAAGTTATTTAGACATGTCTATGATTTGCCTATCATCATTTTAGAGAACTCATGAACTCATGTGTCACAACATGTGACTTTTAGATTACAAAAGGAGAGGCAACTTTCCCAAGAAAGCTAAAAATACCCATTTTACAACATGATCCAGGACTGTCAGCCCCAACAAACAGCTTTTCCACGGTCTAAGCTTTTTACCCAACCAACCTGAATGATTTCAACAACCTTACTTCTCCTGACCTCCAGATCACATCTGTTTTCTTCTACAAATTCTAGCTCCAAGTCTGTCAACCTCATGAAGAAACTTCTATTCCCTTAGCATTACCCTTGACACACAGCCCCCATCTTAATAATTACTGCAAAAACAATAGTTGTTGATTGCATCATAGCTGAATATCTTCCCCTTGGTATTAAATTTTGACCATGTTTCTAAACATGTGACCTCACATGTCCTATGCGGTGTTCTCTAGGAGTCTTTAGGCACATAGACAGATCAAAGCTACATAATTGTTCTGTACCTGTACAGTAGACACCATCTTTGTCCTCCAAGAAAGATATGGAACAATGCAAGGTTGTGAGAAAAACTAGCTGAAATGTCATCGAACAGGAAAATTTTGTACAGGCCCAAAGTATTCAGTTACCCTTTGTGCATTAATAGAACAGTGGCTATTTCTTAATGCAAGCTGGAAGAAAAAACTAGGTGAAGAAGAAAAGTCATGACTACTTAATAGTTTCATTCACTTCACGCCTGTTTGTGGTGACCTATCTTTTTGTTGTGTTTAAAAAAGGAAAATTCCAGTGATGGAATAAAACTAATGAGACAATTGTTCTGTTTATAGGCTAAAAGATAGAAGAACAAAAGTAAATTGAAAACAGAATAGCAGTCAAGATGATGTCATAGGTTAACACTGTACCCACATCCTCCTATGGATAACCACATCAAAATTACAACTAAACTACAGAACCATCATTGACAACCACCTGAAATCTTACTGAGGAGAAGCCCTATAATAAGGATATAAAGAAAAAGCCACATCGAGACTGATAGGAGGGACAGAGATGCAAATGGGTTGGTCAGACCCCCGTGTGTAGTGTATATTATACAGAGCAGGTTTAGCATCTGTATCTGCCAGGTAATTCTTTAGACACTGGACATATATTGGTGAATAAGAGAAACAGTCCCTGTACTTGTGAAACTTAAAAACTCATAAATGAAAGAGAATTTGACATTATTTTTGTAATGACGTCAATATCACCCTGGAGCCCTAATCTGTTGAATAGCTCCACTTACAGGAAGATGGTAATCAGAATCTTTAATGGACTGACATCTGCCCTCCCAATACACCGTGGTATGCAGAGTTGGTCACTGAGGCATAGGCAGGTAAATCTGTCTAGGAGCCAAGGAGCTTTCTGAACAGAACAGGACTAAAATCAACTCTCTCTGATAAACTGAGAAGTTCATAAAAGCAATGGCTCAAGAGAAGGATGTTAGGACTGGTGTCCCAGGCTCACCATAAAGGCTGAGAGCAGAAAGAGGCTGGCTGGACACAGCTGAGGCTAAGGCAGGAAGGCCCTCCTCTCTTATCAGCCCCGGCAGGTCCTGCTTTGGGTGCAATGCCAGAGCATGTGAGGGGAGCCAGAAGAGTTGTCATCTTGCATCACTCTGATCTGTACGCGTACTGGATCAGCAAGTGTACCTTTGGGTGGTGGATGGAGACACCTGGAGGGAACAGGGATGTTGCATGGCAGGAGTAGAAACAGCAGCAGCTTAAAACCAGGGTCCTCTGGTGACCTGACTTAGCTCCTCAGTAGCCTTATTGGAAGTAGCACTGGCCCTGTGGGCTAAGTAAATCTCCTGGAAGTTTGTGGGAGGTAAGAAAGTACCTGCTGTAAGAGGGAGACATTGGACTTCTTAATAAGAGGGACAGATGGATGCTTGAGGAATTAATTGGAAAAGTAAAAGATATGCAATTGCATTTATACCTCACTATTAAAACAGATCCTATATGTGCAATTGTGTGCTGAGTATATTGAAAGAAGTAGGTGCTATCATATCATCTGACAAGGAGATTTAATGTAATCGGTGGGGTTAGGGGGTAGATTCAGGGGAGGCTTGATGAAATATAAGCTTAGCTGAGATTTAATGGCTGACACCAACTCTGGCACAATAAAAATAAAGTATTTTAAGAAGAGCAAATAGTATGTGAGAAAAACTCAAATTTGAAAGAGGGGGATGTCTTTAAGACTAGAAAATTCTGTATGGCTATTAAAGTTTGGATAACAAAGGTGATGGTGATTCAGTACAAAGCTGGAAACATGAGTCACACCACCCAGTGAACAATAGAAAGCCATTGAAGAAATCTTAATAGAGGAGAGGTGATAGATTTGAGAGTTTAAAAGACCATGCTAGCTAAAATTAAAAGTTGACCATAGTGGAGGCAGCAGGTAGCTGAGTTTGGAGGCTTCTGCGCTCATCCAGTTGGACTCAGCTGTAAAATGATCATTTGCATGTCACGTCCCATGTTACACATAGAAAAATCATCTTGAAGAAGTTAAGTGATTCTTGCAAGACCATACAACTAATAAATGGCAGCATCATGTCCAAACCTAACCTTCTGAGCTTGGCTTAAAGCTCTGTCCACAGTACCAACTGCTCTCAAACTTTTTCCATCACCATGAGTTCATGCACATGGCCACTGCGTTTCCACACTGGTATCCGTGTATCTCCTATGTAAGAAAGTAGATCCCAATGCATACGAGTTAGAGAGGGAGGTTAGTATATAGACAACCATTGTTGAACTCTCATTCATTAAAAACAAAACAGGAATCATTTGTGAATTTATTTACTTAACCCTTATTAGTAACAAATGTCTCCCCCACTGCAGTTGGTACCTGAACCTTGCACCCAGGATTGGAATGAGGGTGAGAGGAGGATTTTTTTCCTGCTCTACTTTTGAATATAACTCCATTTTATTCTCCCAAAGGGAGTAGCGACAGAAGGCTCTGCTGCTCATTTCTGAAGTGTCTAGAGGGTTCTCCGCCCCAGGCCTGGAAACCTGGTATAAAGCTATTTCTGAGAGGAATGTGTGAGGGAAGTGAAAAAAAGAATGGCAGAAGATAAGAGTCTACTGAGCTGCATCTGCTATGACTCTCTAATCACAGATTGGCAGAAGTGATTCTGTTTAGTCAAAGTTCGGTCAAAGGACCTTGTGATTCCTCCTTTATAGTGAAGCGCCCTTGACCTGCATATCTTTCATTTTTCTCTCTTTCTCTTTTGTTTCTTATTCCTCCTTTTCTCTGTTTTTTTCCCTTCTTCTTCCCTCCCCCTTGTTTTGACAATAGCTCCTTGGGTTCAACAGTAGGGGGATTTAGTTCTTGGGTTCAACAGCAAGCTAATGCATATGGCAATGGGCAAAAGTAGAGTATGACAATATTTCATGGCAGATGAGAATATAGAAGTTAGACTATAAAAGCAGGAAAATAACCACTTAAAATCCCCCCAATCCTCAAATAGTGACTACTCGAAGTTCCTACTGAGTTACTCCCAGATATCATTTCTTTTTTTAAAGACAAAGTCAACTTCCAGTCAAGTTGGTGGCATTAGCAGACACGGCTCACCTCTTTATACAACCACATCAAAATTACAACCAAAATATAGAATAGCCATCACTCAGAACCATCAGAAATCAAGTTGAGTGGAAGTCTGACAACTAGAAATTAAAGAAACCATATCCATCCAGACTGATAGGAGGGGCACAGATTCAGAATGGGCTGGTCTCACACCCATGCGTGGTGGATAAATATTCAGGAGGGATGTCTTGTGAGTGAGGAATCCCAGTCCCACACCAGACCCCAGCCTAGGGTGCCAGTGCCAGGAAAATAAGTTCCCATAACATCTGGCTGCAAAAGCCTGTGGGGATTGGGTTGGTAGAAGAAACTTCTGGAGTCCCAAGCAGTTCCTCTTAAAGAACCGACACACGGACTCACCTACTCAGATTCACTCCCTCTGAGCTCCAGGACTGGATTACCAGGTTGAAAAACACCAGTGGTACACAGGGAGAAACAGAAGCATCTGGCATCATGGGAAGCAGAGACCATTCTCCCTTTTCTAAACACTCCCCCCACAGATCTGGCAAGCTGGTACCACATCCGAGACTCCATCAATCTGGCTAACACTGTTTGACCTGCCTTGGAGATCCCCAGAGATTCCACCCCAACCAAGCTGCTTTTCCATATGAATGGCTGGTCTTGGTTCATAATTTACAACTTCATAAATCCCCACAAACAAGCAACAGCTGGTGTCAGTGAGCCCCAGGCCCAGCACTAACAACAGCCAGCCTAGTTTCACGGTTTGGCTTAGCCTGGTAATCTCCAAACCCAGCACAAGTAGTAACCATCTTAGATTGCTTTGTAGCTCAGGAAGGGAGGCCCTGGGCAAAACACAGGTGGGGACTAACCTCGGCCTGAACCAGCTGGGAAACCCCAGGGCTTGTGTACCTAGTGGATGGCTACAGACCATAGCAGAGCACCTATGCACAGCTGATCCTCCATGGAGAACAAAGGTTGGTGGTCAGTGGTCACAGCCAATCTTTGCAGCTGGCTGGCCTGGGTAAATCCCTCCCATTGACTGCCAACAGCAATCAAGGCTCAACAACAAGAGGAGAGTGTACTCAGCCCACATGAAGGGCACACCTTGAGTACTCAGTTTGGGTGATAGGGGACACTGTGCCACTCTACCCTACAGGACACCTACTATATTATGCCACACTACCAAGATATGGAGTCAAGGCAGCTCTACCTAATACATAGAAATAAACACAGGGAGTCTGCTGAAATGAGGTAACAAAGAAACATGGTCCAAATGAAAGAACAGATCAACACTCCAGAAAAAGAGCTAAATGAAATGGAAATAAGCAATCTTTCAGATGCAGAGTTCAAAACACTGGTTATAAGGATGCTCAAGGAACTTAGTGAGGACCTCAGCAGTGTAAAATAGATCTAGTCAGAAACAAAGGATACGCTAATTTAAATAAAGAACAATTTACAGGGAAACAACAGTAGCATGGATGAAGCCAAGAATCAAATCAATGTTATGGGATATAAGGAACCAAAAAATCAACCAATCAGAGCAACAAGAAGAACAAAGAATCCAAAAAAAATGAGGATAGTATAAGCAGCCTCTGGGACAACTTCAAGTATCTCAACATTCACATTATAGGGGTGCCAGAGGGAAAAGAGAAAGAGCAAGAAACTGGAAATCTATTTGAAAAAATAATAAAAGAAAACTCCCCTAAGTTGATGAAAGAAATAGACATGCAAGTCCAGGAGGCACAGAGAGTTCCACACAAGATGGATACAAAGAGGCCCACTCTAAGACACATCATAATCAAAATGCCAAAGTTTAAGGATAAAGAGAGAATCTTAAGAGCAGCAAAAGAAAAGCAGTTAGTTACCTACAGGGGAGTTCCCATAAGACTGTCAGCTGATTTTTCAAAAGAAACTTTGCATAGTAGAGGGGATTGGCAAGAAATATTCAAAGTCATGAAAGCAGGGACCTATAGCCAAGATTGTTCTACCCAGCAAAGTTATCATCTAGAATCAAAGGGTAGATAAAAGCTTCCAGACAAGAAAAAACTAAGGGAGTTCATCATAACCAAACCATTATTATATGAATTGTCAAAGGGACTTATTTAAGAAATAGATGAAGATAATAACTATGAAAGATAAAATGGCAATAAATACATACCTGTCAACAATTGAATCTAAAAACCAAACTAAGCAAACAAGAACAGTGACAAAATCATGGATACAAAGAGCATTTTGATGGTTGCCAAATGGGAGAGGCATGTGGGGGAATGGGTGAGGAACTGAGGGGAATAAGAAGTACAAATAAGTAGTTACAGAATAGCCATGGGGATATAAAGTACAGTACAGGAAATGGAGTAGCCAAAGAACTTACACCCATGACCCATGGACATGGACAATGGTGGGGGGATTGCCTGAGGGGGTGGGGTGTGCTGGGTTGAGAGTGTGCAAAGGAGATAAAGTCAAGAGAACTGTAGAGCATAATCAATAAAATATAATTAAAAATAAAAATAAAAAAATAAAGACAGAGCCATGTCAATCTTGGGAAGAGCTCATTGGGTGCTGAAAAAGTGACAGTTTAGGAACACACCAGATAGGACTGCTAATATTTGGGCCAGGACTCAAACGATGCAGGCAAGCTCTGGCCCCACTGGTGCAATAGGAGTGGAAAGCTGCTGAAAGACCTCAGGGCACCACCAAACAGGTGCTTTCCCACCCCCAAATGGCCTCACATACTTTTCTCCTTTTCTTACCCAACTAGGAGAATAAGATTCCTGAGGGTAGGGAGAGGGCATAGCCCAGCTCATGCCCAAATGAGGAAAGAAGAGAAGAGAACTGAAGGACTCATCATAAAGGATCCTGGCATCTTCCCACCAGTGAACTCTGACCTTACAGCTGTCTAACATTGCCAAAATAACACCAGTCTTGTGAGGCTGATGGCACTTCTCAGCTCAAAGAACAAAGCAAAAAATTCCTTCCACAGCAACAAAATATTCCTTTTAAAAACATTCTGTGTAAGGGTTTTAGATCACTGAAGATTAAAGCCATTTTTTTTTAGGGAAAAAAATCATCAAAACAAACCCAAAGCAATTCATAAGTACTGAATGAATTTAGTGTGAAGCTGGGATGCCGTAGGCCTGTGGTGCAAAGTAGAGCCTCACACTGCAGACACCCAGCCCACATAGTTACCATGAATAAAAGTTACTTACCTTTTCTTGAATAAAGCTTTTGGCAGAGTTGTTTTCTTAGGATTATCACTGTAGCTATGACCATTAAAACAATGATAAAGGAAGGGATGAAAATATGAAGCAGCAAAGGTGGAGGTACGCTGGGTTTCATTTCACCTGGGTGAAAGAAAAGCACCAGAATCAAGTACATGGTAGCTTAGAGGGAAACTAACAAGTTGGCCTTCTGAGTGTATTATAAGTAACAGGGCCAACTTACATTGAGCATTTACTTCATGCTAGGTACTGTCCTGGGGCACTGTATGTATTAACTCATTTATCCTTCACAACTACCCATGAGGAAGGCTCTGCTATGATCCCCATTTACTGGTAAATGGGCCTAGAAAACTTCCCCAAAGGTATCAGTGAATGACAGAGCTGATACGCAATTCAAGCTGTCTAGTTCCAGATTCCATGCTTTGCATCATTCTGACACATCTATCATATTCTTTCTGTCTATCTACCTACCTACCTACTTACCTACCTATCACCTCTCTTTCCAGTTGGAGTGTCTCTCAGTCCAAAACTGCTCCCCAGTCCTCTGTCAAGCACTTACAGTGCTTAGAATCTATATCATTACTTATTCAATTTCAAGAACTCACATGATCCTTTAAAAATATATAAAATATTGTAGATGGTGTTAATATACAAAACCCAGTCATTGTGAATTACAGTAACTAGTCCTTTTCCTTGTTCCAGCTAATCGAGGTCCTGACACTGAGAAAAAGATGAATTTAGTAGAAAGGTGGATAAGAAGAGTAATTTTGGAGCCTGGGGAAAACGTAAAGGAGAGCTCTGGATATCTAAAGGTTAGAATGAGGGCCCCAGAGTGACAAACAAAGGAGAGGGCTGGAGAGGGGTTCACTACAGGGAGATGGTAGGAGACCCAAGGTAAGCTGTGCCTTTTCCAAAAGCCTGATTTTCACCTCATGCAGTAACTTATACAGAATAAACATAACAGCCTGGCCCTAGAAACACCTGAAAAAACTGCTCAAGAGGCAAGGCTCAGTTCTGCCAACTGCCTTCCCTATGCCCCAACATAGTGCCTTCTGAGAACCATAGACAGTTTTAGCTGAGACAGGAGGAGGCATCATTTAATCTGAGCTGATCTCAGAGTTAAGAAAGTAGAGCTCAAAGGTGCTAAATACTCTCTCTAAGACCATCACTACGAAGTAAATGGCAAAGCCAGGATAGCAAACCCAGATCTGTCTGATCCAAAGCTCACGCCCAACAGATCTTTGTCTATCTGAAAGAGTGTGGTGAACACTAAGGAGAGGTCCCTACCTCAATGCCTTTATGCAAACACTTGTCCTGTCCAGGTTCTCTCAGAGTCCTTCCCACAAACAAAAGCCTACTCATCCCTGAAGACTTGCTAATGTTGAACATCCAATAGGATATCAGTCTGTTTAGACTATAAATGTTTGAAGTGCAAAGACTTTACCTAAGTCACCTCTGAATCCCCTATAAAGCCAACTACCGTGTGAATGGTGTCAGTAAGCATTTGTTGGACTGAATTGACCGTCTAGTCCATCTAACCCAATCTTCCTTCTCATTGGTTACCTTGTGGCAGACTGCTGCTTATTCCTTGAATCCACTCTCCTTTTCTTCTCCAGTATTAGCTATGTGTTAGCTGGACAGTGTTTCTCAGAAACTACATTCTAAGCCTCCTCGGTAGTTAGGTGTGGTCAGACCTATAAATTAACTTCAGGCCAACAGAATGGGTCTTCTGTGTCTTGGCCTTCAAACATCAAATATGTTTCTTTTTCCTTTCTGAAGGCTGAAACAAGGGTGTGGCAGCGACCCAACTTTAGCAGTTCAATAGGGATAACACCTGGGAAAATGTCAGAGCAAGAGAAAAAGAACCTGAGTCACTGAGTGACTGTATGGAATATAGCCACTTACCTGCTCTGAATCACTTTCTCTCTGAATATTAGATGAGAGAGATATACTTGTCATGTTAGAGTCTCTATATGTTGACGTCTTTTAGCCCATGTCCTAATGCATATTCTTCTAAATAGTTTTCTAATTTTTGCATGCTTCTTAACAATGATATGATGCTATAATGGGAAAGCTACCTGTTTTATCCTTACCCACAGTCCTACTACTCACGAGGAAGCCATCCTCTTGCTAAAGATGTCATATTCTTTTTTCCTGTTTCCATCCTTTCTGAGTGCTAAGGACTTTATAAGTGTATTTCATTTAGTCTTCACCATAACCCTATAAGGTAGCTACCATCATTTACCCCATTCCACAAATGAAAGACAGGAGACAGTTCTAGGGTAGCTCAAGCTCTTAAACCTAGTAGGTAGCAGAGAGGATTTGAAATAAAAGTTTATCTGACTTTAGAGCCCATGCACTTGACCACTGCCAGAGTCACTGCCAGGCCTCCTGGAAGGGCTTCCCTGGCATCCCTGTAAGAATCTGTGCTCTAGTCCCACTGTATTTCCTATGAAAATGCAACAACTGACTAAGTAGAAGACAATGTTTCAAAAGGAAAATCATCTCACTGCTCCTTAATTTCTGATTGAAAGTTAGGATGTTCAGTCATTATCTTAGAGTTCTGGGAGCACCTCCCATGCCCAGAATTTCATTGCTGTATTTGTTTGATTCATTGACTTCTGGAGAAGCTTGTGGTGGGTCAGAGAAATCAGGAGTGAGCTACTCAACTTATGAGAAACAACAGAAAAGGAACAGTCATAAGACAACAAAATGCTTTTCAGAAATAGAAGCCAGGAACCCAAGTGTGGGAGGATGTGTGACTTTTGGTTATTTTGTTTATTTGTACCACAAGCTAGTGCATCATTTGCCTGTTCAGACCTGCCTGTCCACACAGTCTGGCTGCTGGGGTAATGCATCTGGGATCATCTAAGAATAAGTCTTCAGCCCCTTAATCTGACATTTATTGAGTGCTTATTATGAGCAGAATACTCTGCTTTTGCTTTAGTCTGAGTATAAAGAAGACTCATGTGAACAATTAAAATACCTGGAAAATAAAATAACAATGAAAGAGAAAAGATAAGTATAGTCATAGACAAAGAAGTGGTACAATTGGTCTTAGGAGGTGAGATGAGGGAAGACTGCTTGTGCCCAGGAGTTTCCTGAGCTGCCCTGGAGAGATGGTGGGCTTGAGCTGGTGAAGAATGATATTTCATGTGGCAGAAAGTGCCCAAGCAATGAAGTCATGGACATGGGAGAGGATCAAGCAAGTTCAGGGGGGATGTGGTGAGGAAGGGGAGCTGACTATAGCAGAGGATCCATGTCAGGGGATAGCAGGACTGGGAAGGATGGGTAAATCTAGGTTGAGAATTTCTAATTGCACAGAGATTTCTCCATCTCCCTGCTGGTTGCATTCATGAGCAATATCCCAAGCTTTGAGTGACTCTGCAGGCCCCTCCCACAACTGTTGACTTCAGCTATGTTAGCTTACAGTCAGATAGGGGCTATCTTAGTTCATTCTTAACTTCTCATAGTCTCAAGTCTTCTAGAGAAATTATCAGTCTGCCCTTCCACTTCTCCATCATGAAGAAAAACTCTGACGTAATCAGTAATGCAAAGGGCAGATTCTAGTCATTTCCAAGTCCATTCTTCCCAGGCCCATATTTCTTTGTGGAGATCCTTATATAAGTGTTCTTCTAGAAAACCACATTTCATCTAAAGTATTGGCCTATGCTTAACCAGGCAGTCCTTGCATATTTAACCTCCTGTTGCCCACTTCAACTTTGATAATGTAGCCTTATATTTGCTTTTCCTTTTTTTCTAAACATCTCATTTCTACTCCTTGGAATCACTAGCCAAATACTTGCATGCCAACAGGTTTTTTTCATAGGCTCTGTTTTGTCTAACTAAGACAAAGAAAAATATAATGACAGCATAGTGAATGTTCTATAAAGTCAAATTATTCAATACTAGGGATTGCTGTTTATTCTGAGATGATAGTCTTTGTATGGTAAAATAATGCCTTCCATCAAAGACATCCATGTTCTAATTCCTGAGACCTGTGACTATGTTACCCTATAGCGCAAAAGGACTTTGCAGATGTGATTATATTAAGTAACTTGAAATGGGTAAAGTATCCTGAATTATTGAGTTGAGGTAGGGGGCCAGCATCTACTGTAGTCACAAAGGTCCCTACAAGGTAGAAAAGGGAGGTGAGAAGTCAAAGAAAGAGATGTGATGACAGAAGCAGAGGTCTGAGTAATGCATTTGCTGGCTTTGAAAGTGGGGGAAGAGCCCATAAGCCAAGGAGTACATGTGGCCTCTAGAAGCTGGAAAAACCAAGAAAATGAATTCTCCCTTAGAGTCTCTGCTATCCTCTTGACACCTTTGATTTGAGCTTGGTGAAACCCTTTTCAGACTTCTGACTCCCAGAAGTGTGAATTAATAGATTTGTGCCATCTTAAGCCCACAAAGTTTATGGTAATTTTTTTACAGGAGCAATAGGAAACTTACATACTTGGTGATAAAATGAAATGATTGTGATACTAGAAGTTAGTTGCTCTTGTTGGACAAATAACTGTTCTAACCTGGTACATAAAAAATGGTCAGACTTCCAAAATCTGAAATTTTGCTAGTGTAGGAAGTTCAAAAGTACAGGATTCAGCATAGCCAGTGAAAGCTCTGCAGGATTTTGTAAGAAGTTAGTTTTCCTATAAGACCCCAAACCATGCAGCTGGTGGCCATGCCAGCAAAGTGATATTTGCCCTGCTCACTTAGGACACTGTGCCTGAGTCAAGTGACGAGCTTCTGTGCTGGGTATTTTCTGTTTCCTCTTCTGATCCATTATGTACACTTCAACACTGTGCTCTGAGCTCTGAGAGGTTGATTTTTATGGACCGTATCAGTGGATTCCCTTGTTCTCTAACTTCCAGCTGGGTTCAGCCAATGGGGGGCACCAGCAGGAGATCAGAGGGTGGGAGGAGAGTGAGGTTAGGGTATTCATTCACCGGCTCCCACCCTTTGGAGTTTCTGTGGGCAGCAACACACTCCTCCCACTGGAGGCCACAGTTCCTGTCAAGAGGTGGTCTCCCCGAAGCTCCCTTCTCCAGGTTTTAGTCATCTCTCTAATAGTAGTAATGGCTTCCTCATCGTAGAAGCCCCAGGGTCCGTCACTATCCTCAGCAGTTTCTCTAAATCCTGATCACAACTTCATAAATAGTCCCTTCATTATATTCTCCTCAAATTACTCACTCTGAGTGTGCTGTCTGTTTCTCACCTGAACCCTGACTGACAGAGTCAGAGAGGGCGGGCAGCTCTTACCTGGAGAGACAATGATGGCTGAAGTAAGCTCCTTCACATTAGCATTCCAGAACTCACAGGAGAAGTTTCTGCCGGGGGGTGGCTTTATGCGCAGAACACTAGTCACCTGGTAGAGGCCGTCAGAAGTCTCTGTGTGGCTTGTGTTGGCAGAAACATTGGTATTTGGCCAGGATACTTCTGCCAGGGGATAGCCTTTAGCCTGGCAGGTGAGCTCTACCTCATCTGTCCTTGGGACCTGAACCACGCGAGTGTTTATTTCCTTGTAGGAAGCTGGACAACAGAAGAAAAAAAAATGAATGTCTTTCCTTTCTGATTCCTGTAGAGCTCTGTCCCCAATGCCATGTGAAATAAATAAAATCATTATCAATATTACATAATAATGGTTTTAATTTTAAAAAAACATTTCTGTTGTCTTAGATGTTATGCTATTCTACACACATCAAATTATTTAGTTTGTACAACAAAAGTGGCATTGTTGATATTCCCAATTTTTGTGGGAGGTAACTGAAGAGTCAGGGCTGGAAACTGGTAGAGCCAATGTTTGCACAGTGGAAGTCTGGTTTCTGATCTCAGCAGTACTTATTCCACCACAGTCTGTGCACTCTTGCATTACTGCACATTATCTCACAGCTGAAAACTAAAGAAAAAGGATGCATAAATACAATTACTAGCCAACCCCATATCTCACTTTAGAGTTTTTTCCTTATATCCTCAGGAGAAATTTTTCTTTCCACTTCCCCCTTGCTTCTGTTCTCCTTGAGATTAGGAGGAAAAGTAAAGACCTAGATTATGTGTATAAATAGTCAGAAATTGGGTGTATTTATTATTTATTTCTCTCCAACACACACACACACACACACACAGTTCTGTGCAGTGTATGCTGAGTGAGTTAAACCTGTATGGCTCCCTGCCCTCTAGAAAACAGATCTAAAATAGACACAGGTGACAAGAGTGAGGACACAAAGACAAATTGTCCAATTATCTTAGATGGTAGCTAACAGTAAGTATGTATTAACATGGGAAGATACCAGGAAGTGTGGAAAATAAGCTGTTAATTTTTGGAGGAGGGAAGAGGGAATGAGCACTAGCTTTTATTAACCAGAAAGTACTTCCTAAAGAAACAGAATTTCACTACAATCTTTGAAGTAAAGATCAATAGATAGATGGCACATGTGTGATGAAACTTATTTTTCCTTAAATTGGTGGAGTATAAATGGGCACAAACTTTGAGAAGCAAATTTACATGAAAATAGTCATAACAGCTATATGAACAAAAATAAAACATGTATGACTCACTAAGTGTTTTCTAGGTACTGAGAGTCATGCCCTGTGCTTTTACATTCTGCAGAGGAGAGAATGTTCATGCTCCTCTCCAGTTCCTGCCTGTTGAGCACCTCCCCTGTGTGTCCCTAAATTATGAATGGCTAATTTGACTAGTTATAGCCAAAGACACTCCTGCTGTCATGCACGGGTCACAAGAGAGCAGGGTGACCACACCTTCAAATGCTGCTAAAAACCTGTGGGCCCTCTGTTGAAGTTTTTGTCTCCACGTGGCAAATCATATGCAGCTGGGCCTGCTGGCCTGCCTGCCTCAAAAAGCTCTGACATCTTCCCAGCTCACAGTATTCCAGCTCCTGCTGGCAAATGGTGGTGGGTGGGGGGTTCAGATTTTCTTATCCATGAGGCTGAAGGGATGAGTGACCTCAAGGTCTGATCTGCAAACCTGGACTCCTAGGTTAAGATGAAGGAACAAGAAGGAAGAGGCCCCTGTTCTAAGTCATGTTCTCCAGTGTAATTACCAGAGAAGCCCCAAAATTGGGAGCAAGGAAAGGGGAAATCATGTGTTCATCCAGCTATTAATGTAAAAATTGGAGTTCATTTCCCATTTGGTATTGATTCTTGTGTATCTATAGGTCACTTAGTCTACAACTTGGAGAGGAGCAGGGGTGACTGGCTCTAAAACCTGACTCCTTCCCCTTAACATACATTATGTCATTTAAACTACACAGAGACACTATGAGAGGTAAAATCCATTCCCATTTTGTAAATAAGAAGACAGCTGGACTGGGGTAGATGGGGACAGGGGGACTTGAACTCATCCTTTCTGAATTCTGTGTTGGATTCTCAATGTAACTGCGAAAGTCTGGGGATGGAACAATATAGACGGGTATGTTTTCCTGGGGGGCTTAGGAGTATCCAGAGCTAGTGCATGAGGAGAATCAGGCTCTGAACAAGCCTACTGAAGAACTTGAGCTGGCTAAACTCACCAGTCTTCTTGGAACCAAATTTTGGTCTGTGTCTAGCAATCAAACAGTATCTCAGTTATGCATTCTGAGTACTCATTTTATCTTTTATCATTACCTATACTTTCCCTGCTTGGTACAATAATTTTATTCTGTTATATTGTAGGTTATTTCTGAAGCTGTGGGTCTTAGAGGGAGATGGAGGAGAATAAATAGATTCATAGGAGTTGTGTTATGTGGGTAAGGCTCTGGTCTGCTCCCACAGGGTAGCTTGGGATAAGTTGATTTCATGGCCAAGTTGAAAGGTGATTTCAGAGACAGAGGGTCAGGAATCAGGAGCTGGGCTAAGATACATAAATGAGAAAGCAGATGGGAGAGGTGCTCAACTAAAAAAATCAGCAAGTTTTGGGGTAGGGACAGGAAACTATGTCTTTATTTATACAACCTAAAGCCACCTCCACAGCCTCTTTTCTATTTGGGAAGTGGCTAAAATGGAGTCATTATCAGCCACATACAATGGGGAAGCTGGATTGAGGGTATTATTCTTAGGAAAAGATGAGTAAATTTTAGAATTTCAGAGGTGGGAGTGGTTTGGAAATTCAACTAGCCCAACTTCCTGTTTAATGAGAAATATCCTCTTTAGCAACTTGCTAGATAAATACCTTGATGATTGTTTCACATGCACTTGGAAATAATGTATATTCTGCAGTTGTTGGGTAAAAGTTTTATGTATGTTGATTAGGTCGAGACAGCTGTGCTGTTCAACTCTTGTATTTTCTTTTTTGTTTGTTCAGTCAATTATAATAGAGATGAGTTGAAGTCTCCAAATATAATTGTGGCTTTGTTTATTTCTCCTATTAGGCCTGTCAACTTTTGTTTTATATATTTTGAAGCTGTGTTGTTAGATGTACATACATTTAGGATTGTTATGTCTTTCTGTTGAATTGTCTTTTTTAGCATTATGAAATATCTTTTTTATCTTTAATAATATTTCTTTTCTAATATTAATAACTTTCTAGATAACTAACTTTTCATTAAATACCTCTATGAATGGAAGTTCCTAATTCCAGAAGTAGTCTTTGCCACGATTAGACAATAAAAAGTTAAACTTTCATTGGAAAAGTCATCCTTATGCCAAGTTAAACTTTGCCTCATGGTAGCCTCAACCATGAGTTCTTGTCTGGCTTAGTAAAACAACATGGGGTAAACATAGTTGTTGAGAACATTGGCTTCATGGTCTGGAAGGTATGGGCTGGTTACATGACCTTCAGATTTTTCATTTATAATATAGGTACAATAATACTTAATTCTTAACAGGAGTGTTAGAATGATTAAATGAGTTATGTGCCTAAAACACAATAAATACTCAATGTTGGTAATTATTATTACCTCATCCATATGAGAAGACAACCCTTCAGGTATTTGAGGATAATTGGTGAGACTCCATATAGTCTTTTCACCTTTAGATAAAACATGTGACTTTCTTTTCTTTTTTGAAATAATATCTATTTTCCATTGAGATATAATGGGCCCATAATATTATATTAGTTTCAGGTGTACAACAAAATAATTTGATATTTGTATATATTGTGAAATGATCACCATAATAAGTCTAGTTAATATCCATCACCACACAGCTACAATTTTTTTTCTTGTGATGAGATTATGATGATTTACCCTCTTAGCAACTTTCAGGTATCCAATACACTATTGATAACTATAGTCATCATGCTTTACATTACATCCCCATAACTTATTTTATAACTGGCAGTTTGTATCCTTTGACCCTCCCTTTACCCATTTCTCACCTCCAGCAACCACCAATTTGTTCTCTGTATAGATGAGGAATGGGGCAGTGGTTGGTTGGTTGGCTGGTTAGCTGGTTTTTAGAGTACACATATAAATGAGATGATGTGGTTTTTGTCTTTCTATGTCTGACTTGATAGTTAACTCAGACATTAAGGCGAGTAGTTATAAAACTGTTGATTTTGTGTTACTAGGGGAAATCACCAAATGAAAGAAAAACCAATAAGAAATATATGATTGTTTAGGCAGCTTTGATTACAATGAAGTAAAACAAAGCTGTAAGAAGTATGGGTGTTCTGAAAAATTCTGCATATGGCCTCTCCTCCAGGAAGATGTCATATTTAAAGGTTTACTTGCTATTCTTTGAAGTAACTAGCTGTTTAGTCATTAAACAGAGGGCCCATAGACACATGAAAAAATGTGTCAGTATCACTAGCCATTAGAAAGATGCAAATTAAAACCATGAGATACCACTTCACACCATTAATAAATTAACAAACAAGTGCTGGCAAGGTTGTGGAGGAAAGGGAACCCTAGTGCACTGTTGGTAAGGATGCAGATGGCTAGAATTTCCTCAAAAAACTAAAGATGAAATTGCCTTTTTATCCACTGATCCCACTGCTGAAATTATATCCTAAGAATCCTGAATCATCAATTCAAAAGAACCTATGTACCCCAATGTTCATAGCAGCACAATTTACAATAGCCAAGTGCTGGAAACAGCCTAAGTACCCATCAGTAAATGAGTGGATCAAAAAAACTGTGGTACATTTACACAATGGAATACCACACAGAAGAAAAAAAGAAGGAACCCCTACCCTCCACAACAGCATGGATGGCACTGGAGAGTATTTTGCTAAATAAAATAAGCCAGGTGGTGAAAGACAAATACCATATGATCTCACCTATAAGTAGAACCTAATCAAAAAACAAACAAATGAGAAAATTATAGGCAAAAGACAAAATTATTGTGAACTTTTTCCCATTGTAGATTATTAGCCAGAACTATTTTTAATTATATTTTATTGACTATGCTATTACAGTTGTTCCCATTTTTCCCCATTTGCACCCCTCCAACTAGCACTCCCTTGTCCCTCAGGCAATCCCTACACCATTGTTCATGTCCATGGGTCATGGGTGTAAGTTCTTTGGCTACTCCATTTCCTGTACTGTACTTTACATCTCCATGACTATTCTGTAACTACTTATTTGTACTTCTTA